TACGAGCAGTCACAACTCTTGCTAGAATACACATGGGCCACGTGAAAAGAGAGTTCACCTGTGTTTAAACCTGCAGCCTACATCGGTGTGTATCGTGGAGCCTCAACAGTGCTCAGGGCCCAGTCAAAACCACAATAACAACAGCAAAACACAAGCACAGCTCCTTCGGAACACAAACACGATAACTTAGGAAGCGTGGGAGCATCTATTTCCCACTGTTATAACATCACTGCACTCTGAAACTGTCAGAAGAGCAAATTCCAAATAGTCTAAGGCAGGAGAATAATGTGCGAGAGAAGGGAATGTACTGAGAACATGTTCCCAACGGAAGTGCAGGGTGAGGAATGCAAACATCTGCAGGAACGGGAGGTTAAGGAAAGGGGCCCACTTGACTCAGAGCCCAATCCCCACTGGACCCCAGAACTCCGAGTGGAGGGCGAGAGACACACTCAAGAAGGAATTTTTATGGGAAAAAATATAGGGGAAAAGGCAGGAGTAACTGAACATTGATACCACTGCAGTAAAGATGGCAAAAACAAAATATTTTAAACACTCATGACCTGTCTTAGCAGCCTCATCTATGTTCAGAGAAAATGCAGTCATTGGGGCCAAGAAGAGACAAAAGCCTGCCCGTGGCTCAAGGCTCCTCAGACTGCCTCCACCAGGGAGCTCGCCAGTGCAGGCGAGCAGCCACCATGGGTTTACAAATAGCCTAGAAAAACTGAGATCTCCAACTCGCAGAATCATGAAAGTCCCCCCAGTTAGAAGACACAACGAATTCAGTTTCACTGTAGGGCCTCCTAACAGCTACACAGGAGACCCAGAGGTACAACCTACATTTAAAACTTGACTGTGTCAACCACTAAAACATGGGCAGTAGGAGAGTGAAAAGAAAACATGATTATTTCTCCTATCTACTAGCCTTCTGCGCAGTGCCGGGGAAGCGTGAATGGCCCGTGTCTGTCTGAACGCAGGTGCTCAAGCGTCTGGATTGAGGGAAGGAGCAGGGGCTCGTATGGCAAGGAGTACGTGCAGGTGACAGTGAACAGCATGAGTGCCTTTGACGAAACTGGCAAGAAGATGACTATGAAAAAGGGTGTGCTGATGTCAGTTACCCATTGATGTGGCAGAGTGAAGTGAAAGACCATGGGGTTTACAGTCAGACAGACTCTTCTGGGCCTATTTCCTCATCTGCAAAATGGAGAGAATTGCCGTACCTATTTCAAAGGCTGCTGTGGGGATTAAATGATATAATGTGTGAAAAGTACTTAACAGGAGGTCTGGTAAAGAGTGAGCACTGGGTAAATGTTGTTGTTGTTAAGACGTGTGTCTGTGAAGTGCCTAACAAGGAGTATATGATTACCATTACTACCACAGGGCTGCTTAACAAGGGGCAGGCAGCTGCATGGGCTGTCTCTACCCCTCAAATATCAACAAGCAGGGCCAACCCCGTGGCTTAGTGGTTAAGTGCGCGCGCTCCACTACTGGCGGCCCCGGGGTTCGGATCCCGGGCACGCACCAATGCACCGCTCCTCCGGCCATGCTGAGGCTGAGTCCCACATACAGCAACTAGAAGGATGTGCAACTATGACATACAACTATCTACTGGGGCTTTGGGGAAAAAAAATAAAAAAAAAAATTTTTTTAAATCTTTAAAAAAAAAATATCAATAAGCAAATATCAACAGAAAGGCAGTGACATTGAGATCCCTCACAAGGAAAGGCATAAACTTCCCTTACTCTTCCCTCTACTCCAAGAACCATCATATTTTATGTCTCTAAAATTCTCCAAGAGGTTAAAAGAAAAAACCCAAGAGATCCACAGACTCCATCATGGCCAGGCTACCATGAAAGTGAACAGAACCCAGGAATGCCCATCAGGTTTGAGGGAAGGGACTCTGGAGCTGCCTCTTGCTTCGCCCATGCCACTCTGCAAGTGGATGACCAAACCTGAGTCCTAGCTGATGGCACAGCGAGTCCCAGCCTTTGCACGTTAATTGTAGGGTTTCTCAAGAGCGTAAGGACAAGCAGACCTAGCTTTCCAGCCTCTTCTTCTCAGCTGGCCGGCCTCTATGGGCAGAAAGGTACACCACAGGCCCAAAGCTGGAAGCCTTTTGCCCACACTGGGCAGTGTCAGGAGCTCCGCCCTAGCAGAGCTGGGACCTCCACAGCGAGAAAGCCCAATTCAGCCTTTAATCCTCTGCAAGTCACTTCAATCAACTGGGGTTCAGAAGGAAGGTAAGTTATAAAGCCTAAAAGGTTGAATGGGCTTAACAGCAGCGGCCAGGGGAAGGAAGAGCAGAGCAACCCAAGATTCGGAATAAAGGTCCAGGGGGTCTTCCAATTATAGTCCCACTGCACCAACCACAGACCTCCTCAGAACAGGAAAGAAGGGCCCCCATCCCTCCCACCTCTCAGCCGCCCTATCTCCCTGCCCTGTCCAATTCCGTCTCAATAATGGGCTTATATTGGGCAGGGCTAGGATTCTTCTCTTCCCATAGGCTGTCACACTCTAATATTTGCTCTGCTTCCTTCCTTTCCAAAGCCTAACAGATTAGATTGCACGAGTCCTATCCAGCTCACAAAGGCAGATGGAAAACTGAAAGTAAGGCAACCAAACCGTTCCTGGTGAGAAGACAGACAAGGCAGAGCACCCAACATCCCAGCACCCAGGCCCTCTTTCCAAGCTCCAGGACTGTATCGGCCAGAATAAGTAGTGCCACAGTGGTTTCAGTGAATCAGCCGGGATATTAACTGCACTGTGGCCCACAGCGAGACCTAATTTGAGGCATTCCAGCCTTCAACAGTGCATCACCCACCTGTCCACCTGCCCCAGGAAGACGACAGGATATCAGTGAAGTGCCTGCTGAAGGCACACAACCAAGACCGTGCTCCTGCTGCCTGGGTCTTCCTAGTGTCCCGGCACTTTCAGCAAACACCCAGGAAGCCAGCAGGAGGGCTGCTCAGGGGGCTTGGCTGATAGGGCTGATGCTGCTCCCTTCCCTCTTCTGCAGTATCTCTCCGCAGGTAGACACCCACCAAGACCTGCATGTCTTCAGGATTCATTTTAACCTCGGTAAAATACTGAGCTGAATACGGTTCAGCTCGCTGTGATGACATGATAGGATTTGCAGGCCCTACTTCCTTATACAGAAGAGAAAAGAAGGCACCAACAAGGGAAAGGTTTGCAAACCGTCCACCATAGGACAAATGGTTTCCAACTCAATCTCCAGGTGACTACCCGTCTGAGAAGTAAGCAAGGTGGCCATCATCAGCTAGCTGGAACTCCTCTAGGAGTGCCACCACACTTTGTAAAAAGCGGGCTTACATGGTGGCGCATCAGTTAAGTTCGCGCGCTCTGCTTCGGCGGCCCAGGGTTCACAGGTTTGGATCCCAGGTGCGGCCGGCTCACTGCTTGTCAAGCTAGGCTGTGGTGGTGTCCCATATAAAGTAGAGGAAGATGGGCACGAATGTTAGTCCAGGGCCAATCTTCCTCAGCAAAAAAAAAAGAGGATGATTGGCATCAGATGTTAGCTCACAGCTAGTCTTCCTCACCAAAAAAAAGGGGGGAGGGCATATAAATAGGGCAAAAGGATTCTTAGGTCTGAAGGCAACAGCCAGAGTAAACCTTCATGAACCAGCTTGGTGGAGTGAATCTCTACAGCTTTGAGGCACTGCCACACTGCTCTTTTCTCTTCCGTTTGGACAGGTGCAAACAACTCATGTGCTTGCAGTCATTCATTCATTCAACAAACATTTACTTACCACCTACCACAGAGTCTAGACTACAAGCTAGACCTTTGCTACAGCAAAAGTCACCTGCCTTCAAGGGGCACACAATGGAGGCTAATATCTGAAGTGATGATAATGCTTTTTAAAAGCCTCCTGTGGTTTCTCAGAGCATGCCAGGTCTCTATTTTAGCAATCCGCTTTGTGCTCTAGGTACTGCGCACAGCCTGTGTCCTCCATCAGACTGTAAGCTCCCTGAAGACAGATGCTGTGTTCTCTTCCTCACTGCCTTTCATGTCCTTATTACCCAATAAATGTCAATCAAGTGCAACTGAAATAGAAAACACTCTGTTCTTTCAAGATCTTTGGCTTTACTATTTCTGAAGGCTTTGCCACCAAAGAAAAATGATGAAGCTCCAAAAAGGAGGAAAAAGGGGGGACTGACTGAGTCAGATATATTAAGAACAACATGAGTACAATTTTGGAACTTCAGCCCAAGTGCAACCACCACTCAGTGGGCTGAGGTGCCTCCAAGAGCCACAGCTGGCGTCCTGGAAGAAGGCTTTTCCCTCCCTCTTCTCTGCTGTTTACTCTCCTCTGAAAAACCCCATTTGGAGTCCCGAAGAAAGAAAGGGGGAGGGGCGGGAGAAGGAGTTAGAAGGGGAAGACAGAGCTTGAACCCATACCCACCAAGAAGGAAGGAAACAAGGCGAAAGG